ACAGATGAATGAATTTATGATTTCAGAGGTTGTGCATTTATGAGGAGTAATGTTGTCTATGGTGTAGTTTAAGTCTCTAGAGATGAAAGTGTCAAGAGACCAGTAGTCTAGGGTGGTAAATAAGCTATGACATCTAGGAGTTTTGGATGAATAAGGAATGATTGGGAGGTGAGTAAAAGGCAGCCATAGGGAGTTGAGACTTGTGTATGGGGTTTATTAATGAAGAACATGTCACTTTGTAATTTCCCCTGAATCATTAAGTTATGCTTTTTTGATTTTAGTCAAATATGTTTTTTATGTATTATATACTCTGAATAAAATGTGGCAATCATACAGCATTATGACTATAGAAACTTTAATAAGGCTATCTAGTTGGCATATTGATTTCCCCAGTAATTCTGGAAAATGATATTTTATAGTTTATTTGCATATAAACAGTATCAATGATTCTGTGGAAGAGTGAAATACATTCACTTTGCTTTCTTAGATATAATATACATTTAAATTTAAATGTAGACCTTGACTCTTTCCTGTGCTTATGCAGATAAGACTTCCAGGGGATTATATTTTTGCACTTCCGAGATTTTGCTTAAACAACTGTATGCTCAGATACTCTATAGTTCTTATTTTGTGGAATTATACAACTAAATTCTTAATTTGCTATCTTAATTTTCTTGGAAGCAATAGAATGTTCAGGCAAGCCTTGGTTTAGCTGCTGCTGGTTTCAAGTTTGTGAGCTCATGAAAAAGACAAAATAGTTGGCCTCTGCAGGAGTCAGGTTCCTCAGTTTAAAATTAGAAATATTAGCAGTTGTGATCTAATAGAATGTTGAGTACCAAAAAGGAAATAATGTATTTAGCACTGTACTTGACCCGTATACACAGCAATTTTTAGCTGCTATAATTACTATTATGGTTGTTGTGCATATTCATATCTTTCTAGGGGAAGATACATACTGCAATCATTATGTTGTTTGTTTTTCTAAAAAATTTGAATAATGCTTTGAAATTAGATAAATAAAAATTGTACTATAGGGAGTGGCAATAAAGTTTAGTCAAGTAGGTAGAACTTTGCATTTAAATTCACAAACCATCAGCTAATCACATTTATGGTGGTTCCAAGGGGTTAAACACTCACTTTTGTTAGGAATATCAATTCTGCAAAACTGGAAATGTGATGACAATTACCAGAAAAAAATCTTGTGCATTTATAATATGTTACAATTATTTAAATTAAAAAATGTTATATAAATGTCAGATAATACTTTAGCAACTTATGATTATAGTTTAATGTGGTTTCTACAATGTTTTGTATTTCTCCTAAATAAGATTGCTATTCGTGATGCAAATGTTATCGACCTTAGGATCGGTGGAACTGCTCAAATTGCTGATGTAGAAATCAGTCCTGTGAGTATGTTACTTATTTGTGTGATGAAACTTTTGAGTGTGGTGATTTTTATTTGTTATGTTTCTAGTTAGTCCCTTTATGTTTAAAAATATTTTCCAATGTATGATTTTTAATTAAAAGTTACTATATGTAAAGTTAAAAATTAATACATGTCATATAAATGTGATGAAATAGAATACTGAATGAAGGTTTAGGAATTTACCACTGAACATAAGTATCAGAACACTACCAGTACCATTGAAATCATCTTCATTATGATCCTGTCACTTATAAGAGATAACCACTTGCCTAAAATGACACCACATAAATGTAAATATGAATGCTTTCATTGTTCGTTATTTAGTTTGTTTTGGAGCTTTATAACAAAGATGTACTATTTGTAGCCTTGGTGAGTTACTTTTACTTAAATATTGTGTTTACAACATTCATCTAAATGGTGTGTAACAGTATGTTAATCATCGTCATACTGCATAATAGTTGTTTCTGTAGACAACTATAATTTACATGCTCATTCAGTTGTTCATCCCAATAGGTGTTTCTGGCTTTTTTTTTTTTAATACAAAAACTGGTTCACTGTAGCTGTGAGCAGTCATATGCATATCTTCTGGGGTACATATACAAGAGGTTCTCTAGGAATGGAGTTATTGAGACATAGAGTTATGAGTGTGTTTGACTTCACAAGATTATTTCTAAAATTTCCTCTCTGATTTCCATTGCTCCAAATTCTATTGTTCTACAAGTTATATTGTCAGATTTAAATTTTGCCAATCTATTGAGTATAAAATGATACCTCACTGTGGTCTTGATTTGCATTTTCTGAGCTACAGTCACATTTATTTTTTAATTACTGTACGTGCTCTGAAAAAAACGTAGTTCTACAATTGATAAAATGCACACATACAGACACACACACACACACACACACACACACACACACACAAACACATAAACACATACATCACTTTGTTGTTGTTCTTGCCAGCCCTTAGGAATTACACCTGGACATACCTATTCAAAGAAACTTTTGATTCTTCAAAGTAGGGCCCCTCCATTGTGACATTTATAAGGCATTACAAACATCTTATGCCCTGGGAACATCACCATCAGAGCAGTTGCCATATTATTTGGGGGTTGTTTGTACTTTTGTTTTTTTCTCCCATTAGTAGTGTTAACACATATCACCATACTTGTGGGGAACTAAATTGAGGAGAAACTGATGATGAAGAGGTCAGCTGACTGCCTCAGGTAGGGGGCTCACTGCTAGTCTGCATTTAAATGGCATCACCAAAATTCCAGTGTATGGCTTTAACTTATCCTTTTATAACCTTTCTTTATTCAATTATGAAGGCATAAATCCAGGTAGACTGACAAATACTAAGTTAGGTTGTCCAAGACTGTGTGATTCCTGGAGATTAAACTCTGTAGTATCCACAGTGGTTATTTTTCCATTACTATGGTATCCTTCCTTGAAAAATATTAGATAATTTTGAGTCTTTTTTATCACTTTTTTTTCATCCTAAAGTCATTTTTGGCATGCTTTACGTGTTATGCTATAATTGAATAATTTATAGGATGTTACATTAATATAGTTTATCAATATACCCTTATTTTATAGGATTTTAGACATAGCTGACTTTAAAAAATAATATTCACACATCACTAGATATTTTTAGCAAAACATTTATTAACTATACAGTAATGGATATGGCATTGACTATGTGCCTTAATAACAATTAGGACATTTTGTTCACATGAGCATATATGCAATGCTCATTTGCATATATGCTCATTTTAATGGGATAAGAAGAGTGATTATTTTTTTACATATACAAAACATCAAACTTTCATTTTCCATTTTGAATTTTACAAATTTCACATATACAACTGGGTTGGCATTTTAAATGAAACAAATAGTAGCCAGTCTACCTTCATACGGAATTTCCCTCAATATTAGGATGCTATTATCTCAATCTCCTTTAAATGTTATATGTAATTCTTTTACTAAGAAACTCCATGGTATTTTAGTAACTCCTCTACAAGGAGAAATTCTAAAGAGTTTTGTGGTATAAGCACATGCCTGGGCTGTGAGCTACAGTTCAGATACACTTAATAAAAATGCCTTGTTTATTTAAGGTAGATGTCAGATAGGTGGTAGGGATACAAAAATGAATCACAATAAGGTCCAGCAGAAGAGACATATAAGAAAATAAGTAAATCAATGAATTATGTGATTTCATAATGTAAGCAAATATAAGAAACAGAATTGGTGCTGAGCACAGCATGATTAATTGTGGTTTATCCAACTGGGCTTTGAAGTATGTGTAATATTTTATTAGGCAATTGCAAGTTATAGAAAGGCTTTCCTGACAGAAGGGCCACCAAAAGGGTGAAGACAGAAGGGTGAAGCATCAGATGTTGGTTGGAAATGCTGTCATACAGCTTGCTGAAATATTAAGTGATAGGGTGAGAGTGGGGCTAGTTGAAGCTGGAACATGAGGCAGCAGAAGGCCATGGTGAGCTTTATGAGACCTGCTAATGAGCTTGGATATGGTCCTGTAGATCATGAGAAACCATCAAATTTTAAAACAAGAAGCGATGTGATCAAATTCTTAATTAGTTTAAATATGGCTTCGTTATGAAGGGGAGAGTTTGAGAAAGTAAAAACCTAGAAACTAAATGAAAAGTGATGTTTTACTAATTTCATGCCGTTACAATATGGAGAATAGGTGAAGAAAGGGGAAGAATTAATAAGATTTATTAACTCATTACATAAAGGAGGCATATAGGAAGTGGGGAAGAGGAAGGAAAATGTGACTAATTTTTTATAGAGTTTGCTTTGCAGTTAATAATTTCCTTGATAAACATAACATTGCAAGTTTTAGTTTGTATTTTCATAAACTATTATTATATTTTCTAATTATATTTTTAAAATTTTAGGAAGTACTTAATTTCACTGGCGCCTATGTTGGTGGTACGCAGACTATTCCATTTGTAATAAAAAACAAAGGTGTAACACGTGCCAGAGTGGAGTTTAATCTAAAAGACTTTCCAGATTTTTCAATGGATCTTAAAGACAAATCAGGTATATGTTTTGTACTATAATGGTATTATTGTAAAAGGAAAACAGTTTTAAATTGCCCTGAGGTATAATTTCTAAAAATAATTCAATCAGGGGAAGTTATTCTTAAATGTTTTTAAAGACCACTGCATGTTTTTCTTACACTCTGTAACTTATCATGGTTTTATTTGTAGAAATACATCATTAATATCAAAACACTTCGGCAATACATGAAATATAACCATTCTTATTAGTGGGTTAAATATGGTAAGTTAACTATGTTGTGTATAAGTATATACCTTAAATGAACATAAAATTATGAATTATTTATTTTAATTGCCCAATAATTTTAGATAAATGTCTTTGGGGAGCTATCTCTATATGTTTGCTTATGTATTAGGTATCTTTATGTTAAATTAGATTTAAATAAAATATGAATTTTTATAAGTGCATTTTATCTGTTTACTCCATGGGTTGTCAAAATAAGACCTATGGGCTAAATATGACCCAACACCTGTTTTCATAAATAAGATTTTATTAGAACATGCACAGACCCATTTGTTTGTATAATACTTATGGCTGTTTTTATGCTATTCTGGCAGAGTTGAATAGCTGTGACAGGAACCGTATATCTCACAAAGCTTAAAATATTTACTATCTGGATTCGCACAGAAAGTTTCCTAAACATTGGTTTAATTATATGTTATTCATTAAACATTTGTTGAATCCCAATTACAGGCAAGATAGTAGAGTTTTGGTCCATAAAAATAAGTAAGATCTTACACATCCTCAAAAAGTGAACAGTAAGTATATCAGTGAGGTAATGGATATGCATTTATATTATTTATAGACTCTTTCAGGCATCAAAGATCTGACTCTTCCCTGATCAATTTTCACTGGAAAGGGAGGCTCCTAGCTATTCCAGGCACTAAGATTTAGTCAATTACTTGACCCTTCCCTTTATTCCTATTTATATTCGAGTATGACTGTAGCATGCTTCTTGAACTTTGGAGCTATGTTTTAATGAGTTTACTGTCACTGTTTTGCTGATTGAATGTATATTTGTTCCACGTATAGACATCAATTTTGGTAATTAGAATCTTGGTATTTAGAACAATTCTTTACCCAGCATCTTCACATAGCCCTGCACAAATATTTCAGAAATTGATTTTTGATTGTTATGAACATATGTACTTTTTCATCTCTTACAGAGGAATTTAAAAACCCTGCCCTTCCTTATATATATTCTTTGGAAATAGAGGGAAATACATCTCTGGAATGCGGCATGTCATTTTCTCCGAAAGAAGTAAGTTTTCTGTTTTCTATTCTTCATATTACTGTAATTATGGGTAATCCTAACCAATAACCTTTTAAAGATCACTCAAGATTTATTTGTAGAGGGTTTTTCTTTCTGATTTGTAAGCATGCCTGTGTATACCTTAATTTAGTAAAACAATTACTGGAGGTTTTGGCTCATGCTGCAGAGTGTCTCAAGAGGAGCAGAGGGCATGTACAAGGGACCTATGATTGTATGGTCTTTGTTATACGATCTGGAAAATTCAAGATATTACACATTTTGAAGGAGACTAAAGTTTAGGCTAGCTAAAAAAATCACTTACATTCCAGGCAGTTGGTGCTTTCTACTTACATTTGAGTGGTGTATGGCCTGTGAACCACTACCTGAAATTATCAAAGACATGTTGTGAAGATTTAAGAGGAGTTGCTATGATATTGGCTCCTTTTATATTGTACCCCTTGTAATTTAGTGATTTAAAAACAAACATAAACAGACAAAAACCTATTCTGAAATGTGCCCAGAAGGAAGAGATGCTACTGGTCAGGTTTCAGGAGCCAACTTTAGTAGGCTTTTGCTGCATAGATCCTCTAACGGAAGTACCCAAGGAGAGAGCTTCTCTCTACGTATGATATGAAAGTGCATATTGCTGTATCCTTCCAAGCAAGAATCAAACTTCTATGTGGGAATCAGAGTATAAGATTCTTATGTCAAAACTTTCTTTTATAATATTCCAACATAGCTAGATTGATTCTACTCAATAGGTATAGAATAGAATTAAGTGAAAGTAACTAATAACACAACAAAATTGTATTGAATGCTACTAAATACTATCTTTAATAATCCAATTGTTAGTAATATTATTTTTACTAGATTAAATTTTATTTTAGGAACAATGTAAGCTGTTAGTTGGCTTTCAGGCAGAAAAATAAAGTTTCAGAATGAGTGTAGATATTAGAAAATGATAAAGATTAATTTTGCTTTTTTATGTTCAGTACTTCAGTTGAGATAAGTTTTATAGGTTTTGTGTACATATGATTCACATGGCATGCTATTGGCTACAAGTTCATTCTTTTGTCTATTCTAGTTTTAGATAAGCATAGTAAAGGAAGTAGTAAAGGTTGCTTTTCTGACATCAAAGCAAATTAAAATCCTTTTATCTTATATATAAGGTTAGGTGTACTCAGATGTGTTATACTGTTCATTTTCCATGGATTTGGTGTGAAGTAATTCTTCATCCACATTCATGAACAGTGATATTTAGGTAGATAACAGTCCAGCAAGGTTATCAAGAAAAAAAATATTTGATTTTTAGAAAATCATCGTCAGAATATTTATTTGGCCTCATTTATGTTATCAAATATCAGAAACTAAATTTTATTTAGATTTTCCTTTTATCTTTTCTGCAAAGAATTTTGCAGTACATAAAAATATTGTCAAACTATTTATTGAATAATACAATCTCTAATTTGTTTATTTAATTCAGACAAACTGTAATTAACAAGGTAGTTTGGATAATTTCAGAGGATGTTTATCTTTTTATTTTTGCGGCATTCTAATATTTTTCAAAGGCTACTCTTCTTTTTCATATCCTATTTACAAATATTGTCAGCATCAACTTATATTTTAATCTTAAATATCAATGATATTCTCTTCCTGTTTATTAAAGTTTGTTGTCAAATTTAAGTGGGGAGCTTAGAAAAGCAGAAAGAAAAATAGTTCTTTAAATTCTAATGCTTAATAATGACCAGAGGTGATATTTGGACATACCTATATTTCTCTTTGTCTCCTCCTTCTCTGTACTCATATTTCTACATTTGTATTTTTTTTCCAAAGAATACTTTTTGAGTTATTTTTAACCTACATTTTTTGTACTGATTCCATCAATTAAAATGCAATGAATGGCTTTCTGTGTTCTTAAGTATTCCAAAAGCAATTTAATTTTATAGGGATAATGCATTGTATTATCTTATGGCTATGCTATGTCAGGGTTATTTAACTAATTCCTTTCATTGTACACTTAGGATTTCTCCTCTCTTTTGGCTCTTAATAATACTGTTTTTAAAAAGTTCTTGTAGATAAATGTTTGGTTTCACATTATGCATTTTTACTGTGTATTACTAGAAGTTGAATACATAGGTCCAAATCTACGCACATATTTTGGACTTTCAATACGTATTGTCAAATGGCTCTACAAAAAGGTTGTATCAGTTATATTACTGACCATTTTTCAGTGCACAAATTTCCTATTACTTCATTCAATTTATTTCCACATAGAATTGTTTTCTTAATTTCATTTTTCGATTGTTCTTTTCAAGTGTACAGAAAAGCAATTGATTTTCAGCATTGATATTGTGTTCTGCAACCCTGTCGAACTCATTTACTAGTTTTAATATATTAATGGATTCCCTAGAATTTTATTTTTTTAAACTTTTAAGTTTGGGGATACATGAGCAGGTTTGTTATATAGGTAACAGGTTTGTTTTACAGATTCTTTCATCACCCAGGTATTAAGCTTAGTAACCATTAGTTATTTTTTATGATCCTCTTCCTCCTCCCACCTTCCACCATCCGATAGGCTCAAGTGTGTGTTGTTCCCCTCTATGTGTCCATGTGTTCTCATCATTTAGTTCTCACTTGTAAGTAAGAACATGTGGTATTTGGTATTATGTTCCTGTGTTAGTTTGATAAGTATAATGACCTCTAACTCCACCGATGTTCCCACAAAGGACATGATCTCATTCTTTTTTACGGTGGCATAGCATTCCATGGCTTATATGTACCACGTTTTCTTTATCTAGCCTACAATTGAAGGGCATTTAGGTTGAGTCTATGTCTTTGCTATTGTGAATAGCGCTGCACTGATCATATGCATTCATGTGTCTTTATGGTAGAACAATTATACTTCTTCGGGTATTTACCCAGTAATGGGATTGCAGTGTTGAAGGGTAGTTCTGTTTTTAGGTCTTACAGGAATCGCCACACTGTTTTTCATAATGGTTAAACTAATTAGACATCCACCAACAGTGAATAAGCGTTCCTTTTTCTCCACAACCTCTCCAGCACTGTTAGTTTTTGACTTAGTAATAGCCATTCTGACTGATGTGAGATAGAATTCTCCATATGTAGTAATATGTTATCTGTAAATAGAGAAAGTTTTAATTCTTCCTTTCTATTCTGGATACCTTTTACTTTTTTAGTATCTGATTTCTAGAACTTTTAGTGCAATGTTGAATAGAAAAACATCTTTGTCTTGTTCCTGGAAGCATATATTTTAGACCTTTAATATAAATTTAACAACAGTTTTCTTTTTTTAAATTCCCTTTATTAGGTTGAGGAAGTTCCCTTCTATAGTTTGTTGAGTATTTTTATCTTGGAAGACCTGGATTTTGTTAATTTTATTATCCACTTTGATTGCCAGGTTTTTGTCCTTTATTCTACTAATATAGTTATTATATTGATTGAGTTTTTAATGTTAAACCAACCTTGCTTTGTGAAATAAATCTCACTAGATCATAAGATAGAATTATTTTTATATATTGCTGAATTCAATTCCTTAGTATTTTGATGAAGGTTTTCACACCTATACTTATAAGGAGTATTGATCTATAGTTTGTAAGTCTTATTTTTTTTCTTGTGATACCTTTGTTTCAAATATCAGGCTAATATTGGCTTCTTAGAATGAATTGCAAAATGGTGTCTCCACTTCTATTTTGGCAGTATTTGTGAATGATTGAATTAATTATTTAAATTGGTGTTATATTTCATCATTGAAGTCATCTGGTCATCAGATTTTTAAAAAATATATTGATTTTAAAGTAGGTATTGAAGGGACATACCTCAAAATAATAAGAGCCATCTATGACAGACCCACAGCCAACATCATACTGAATGAGCAAAAGCTGGAAGCATGCCCCTTGACAACCAGCACAAGACAAGGATGCTCTCTTACCACTCGTATTCAACTTAAGTCCTGCCCAGAGCAGTCAGGCAAGAGAAAAAAATAAAGGGCATCTAAATAGAAAGTCAAATTGTCCCTGTTTTCAGACGACATGATTCTATATCTAGAAAACTTCACAATCTCAGCCCAAAAGCTCCTTAAGCTGATAAACAACTTTAACAAAGCTCCAGGATACAAAATCAGTGTACAAATCACTAGCATTTTTGTGGGGTGGAGACAGAGTCTCATTCTGTCACCCAGGTTGGAGTGCAGTGGCATGATCTCAGCTCACTGCAACCTCTGCCTCCCTGGTTCAAGCAATTTTCTTGCTTCAGCCTCCTGAGTAGGTGGGAATACAGGCCTGTGCCGTCATGCCTGGCTAATTTTTGTGTATTATTTTAGTAGAGATGGGGTTTTGCCATATTAGTCAGGCTGGTCTTGAACTCATGACCTCAGGTAATCCGCCCGTCTTGGCCTCCCAAAATGCTGGGATTACAGGTATGAGCCACTACACCAGGCCAAAAATCACGAACAGTTTTATAAACCAACAACCAAGCCAAGAGCCAAATCAGGAATGTAATTTCATTCACAATTGCTACAAAAAGAATAAAATATCTAAGAATATAGCTAACCAGGGAGGGATATTTCTTCCCAAAAGAGGAGAAATGTGTATTCACATCAATACCAAGACTTTTATGTGAATGCTCATAGCAGCATTATTTACAATAGCTTAAAAGTAGAAACAACCCAAATGTCTATCACCTGATAAATGGATAAACACAGTATGGTATAACCATATGCTAGAATATTCTTTGGCAGTAGAAACGAACAAATTGCTGATATGTGCTCCTCGGTAAATAAACCACAAAAATGTTATTTTAAGGGAAAGCAGCTAGATACAAGAAGATACATTTCGTATGATTCCATTTACCTGAAATTTCCAGAGAGACAATCTATAGAGCAGATGAGTGGTTACCTGGAGTTAGGCAAATTGGCATAAAGAAGCCTTGGGGGTGATGGAAACATTCTAAAACTTAATTGTGGTGATGGTTGCACAATTCTATAAATTTAC